GTCGGAACCGATTCTAGAATCAGCAGAGATCTTGTTCAGTCAGTGTAAGTCTATCCCTTTGAAATTCTGCTACCTGTCAGAGTCCAGAATCGTGATCAGGCGACTCACATGTAAATGTGAACACGGATTGTCAAAAGTCTCATAGCTTTGCATGAGCACCAAATGGAAAGTGTGGAGGGAGTGTCATGTCAGTGCTGGCATATGAAGCCACCTTGTTATCAAGACCAATGCACTGTGCAGACTTTCATGAAGCTGATACTCGATCGGACCATTTCCAAAAATGTTGCCCATAGAATCGACTTCACCGAAATGGATTTCACGGTTGATCTATATTTACCCATTTAGAATCGGAGTAGACCCCAAGTTGTACTGTCATACTCGAAAAAAAATGGAATCAGTTTCAAGGTCGGAGTCGTAATTGTTTCCGCTGATGTGAGGAAACCTATGAGGCAACATCGAGCACGATTGCGGCCATGCGGAACAAGATCATTGCGTTACCACCCACACCTGGTGCCAAACGTTTGTCTGACAGTGCTTACAAACAGCAAACGACAGCGGCACGGGGGCCGTCCTTATCTGCACTGCAGCCAGTAAACATAAAATTTGGTCACACCGTAACCAGTGAAACACTAAATTTGTTCACACCACAACCAGTGAAACATGAAATATGGTAACACCGCAACCAGTGAAACATCAGATATGGTCACGACGCAAACAGTAAAGCATCAAATATGTTTACACCGCAGCTAGTAAAACATCAAATATGTTTACACCGCAGCTAGTAAAACATCAAATATGTTTACGCCACAACCAGTGAAATACCAAATATGTTCACACCGCAACCAGAAAAAAGCATCAAATATGTTCACACCGCAACCAGAAAAACATCAAATATGTTCACACCGCAACCAGTGAAGCATGAAATATGGCCACACCGCAACCAGTGGAACACCAAATATGTTCACACCGCAACCAGAAAAAACATCAAATATTTTCACACCGCAACCAGAAAAAAACATCAAATATGTTCGCACCGCAACCAGTTAAACATGAAATAAGGTCACACCACAACCAGTGAATCATCAAATATGTTCACACCGCAAACAATGAAGCATCAGATATGCTCATACTGCCAACAGTTAAGCATCAAATGTATTCACACCACAACCAGTGAAACATCAAATATGTTCACACCGCAGTCAATGAAACATCAAATATGATACACGCATCAAATCTGATGGCATAACCAAACACACCTAAGGTGTGTTACAAATACGAGGGGACACAAAATGAGGATTTTATTACGAAATTTGTCATTGGCTTTGTTCGTGCAGAGCGGAACAAGTAAGGTTACTTCATTTTCTATAAGCCAGTAGTTGTCAGTGACACAATTAACAGGAGCACAATTGGCCTAGAGTCCGCTAGGATTCACTAGAACATGATCAGCAGCACGCAGGATGTCAAACAACTTCATGCGGAAGGGCATTCGATTGTGTCCCAAACGGAGGGGGTTGATTTCTAAGTGTCATATTGCCATTGCCTAATGTCAAACACATACAAGAGAAACTGGAGCTGATTTTCTTTGATCGCAACAAGCAGCCTTAATAACTTCTCGGGGTATGCCCTGGAACGATAAATTCATCATCCGAGATCTTATAACAATGTACACATCACACGAATCGGTTCCAAATAGGACGGCAGTGGTGTACGGTGGCGCCATCTAACAAGCTCACCCGGACACTCAGCGTCGCCTGGACCGCGATAGTGAGAATAACGTTGAGCAGCGCGGGGGAAGCATATATAGTGGCTGCACGCAGGAAGCATGATATTCTCAGCATATGTAATGTCGTTGCAGCCTCACACAACCTTTTAATTTTATTGTATGCATTGCGTGATTTATGCATTTATGCACGAATTGTGAAACCAAGATCATGCCTTGAAATTATAGATTATGAGGATGAGAATAATCAACAAAATAATGATAAGTAGCAAAAAATGATCAGCTAAAAAGAAAATTGAATTAAGCCCTCAAAAAACAGGCTGCGTCCAAGGCCAGTGGCAACACACCGGATCGCACCACGATTCACCGCGCTACCTGTGAGCACGACCTTCATGCTCACAGGTGGCATTATAATATCCTCATATATACAATACATATACATATGCATCATACACATTATACATATATATATATATATATATATATATATATATATATATATATATATATATATCTAATATATATATCTATCTATCTATCTATCTATCTATCTATCTATATATCTATATATCTATATATCTATACATTATACATATACATATACACCATGATACATTCGTCTTCAGTGTCCGATTTTAAGAGGATTCGGCTATGGTCACCTGGAATACCTCACGGCTCAACCACGAGCTCAATTTTCAATGAAATAAGAAAGACTGTACGATATGATAAAGAGCAATATGGTGCCAAAGTTTTCTGTGTTTGGGAGCCTTGCATGGTGTCGCAAAAGATCAATATTACGTTAAATTATTTCGCATCAGGTAATATTATGGCATTTAAAGAAACATGCTGATGTTGATAGGGCTGGGGAAGGTTGTAGGGCATCAGGAAAGACAGCAGCATCGTGCTAAATCGTGCTCACATTCGGCCGATGACACGCGCGGCGTGTGGACACCCTAAGACTGTGTTGAGTTCGATGTTGGTAGGACTCAACACTCGTGTGTTGAGTACGATATTGATAGGACTCAACACCCGAGTGTTGAGTCCGATGTTGGTAGGATGCTGGCAGGACTCAACACTCGTGTGTTGAGTTCGATGTTGGTAGCACTCAACACGTAAGTGTTGAGTCCGATGTAAAGAGCAATATGGCGCCAAACTTTTCTGTGTTTGGGAGCCTTACACGGTGTCACAGAAGATCCATATTATATTGAATTATTTCGCATCAGGTAATATTGTGGTATTTAAAGAAACACGCCGATGTTGGTAAAGCTGGGGGAGGCTGAAGAGCACCAGGAAAGACAACAGCATCGTGGTAAATCGTGCTTATATTCGGCCCATGACACGCGCGGCGTGTGTACACTCCAAGACTGTCTTAGAGTCCGATGTTGGTAGGACTCAACACTCGTGTGTTGAATCCAATGTTGGTAGGACTCAGTACTCGTGTGTTGAGTCCGATGCTGGTAGGACTCAACACTTGTGTGTTGAGTCCGATATTGATCGGACTCAACACTCGTGTGTTGAATCCGATGTTGGTAGGACTCAACATTCGTGTGTTGAGTCCGATGCTTGTAAGACTCAGTACTCGAGTGTTGAGTCCGATGTTGGTAGGACTCAACACTCGTGTGCTGAGTCCGATCTCATTGAAGTCTCAGTATGGTTTCGTCACAACGACATGCTGACCAACCCATCAAAAGCTGAATTCATTGTTGCTGGCACAGCCACCAACACCCGCAAAGCCGCCGGGCTGAGTGTGAATTTTGATAACTCCCAGATGTCTTCTTCAGAGCACATCAAAATACTAGGGGTGCTCATCGATACAAATCCCAACTGGCAGCATCAAACAGCCAAAACTACTCAGCGCTGTTTATGTATATATATATATATATATATATATATATATATATATATATATATATAATAGCTCCCTCACAGCTATTAACAAGCTTAGGCATGTGCCTTCCAGCTCCACAATAAGGATCTAGTTGAGTCACTGGTCTTCCCTTACATCAGATAATTGCTTACCTGCATGGGCTCCGACAATAACCGTTCAGCGCCAGCGCCTAGATAGGGCTATTAATTTCGCGGTCAGAATTGTTGCTGGCAAACGCAGATGAGATCAAGTCACGGAATCCTGAAACCAGCCAAATTGGCCCAGTTTCGACGAGACTGTCACGCACCGCGACTGCATATGTTTGCATGGCGCCATTTACGTGCCTGATGGGCCACGGGCTACCAGTAATCTGATAGGCGCCGACCTGAAATATATCAGCGGTACATCAGAGCCATCGATGACGAAACTGTACTGCAGACGAGTGCTGTAAAACACCATCGCTTAGAGTGCGTGAAAAGGGCATTTCCCTATCGAGCTGTAGCGGCGTGAAATCGCCTCCCTGCTGTCATGCGCCAGTGCATAAACTTAAATGAGTTCAAGGGCAAAGCAATGTCTTTCATCAGAGAACTTACCTTGCTTGACCAACTGGCCATAACAGGCAGGTGCTGATTGTATCACAAGTCGCTCATGTTTTACAACATCGCACGTGTATCGTTGGCGTTGCGTCTCATTTGCATGTGTTGCGTGTTCTGTGTTGATTTATGTACTATGTACTGACGCGGCGTTAGAATAGCCACTCGCTGGATTTCGACAAGGTTCGCAATAATAATAATAATAATTATGATTATTACTATTATTATTATTGTAATAAAGACTGAGTCCTGAGCAAGGCTCTGGCTACGAGCATTGCCGCGCGCGCCCGGTCTCGTGTGAGGCCCGAGCGGACAAGGAGCGGCGGCGCCACACCCCCGTCAGAACCGGAACAGGCTCTCTGTTTACGCCCCGCTCCCCACTTGCGGCTACGTCAGCGCCGCAAGGCGCGGCCAGCACAGCGTGATCCGCACCAGACAGGCCGGGCTGGGGCGCCGGACAGCCTCCCCGTGGACCGTCGGACAGTGGGTGGGTGGGGGTGGACCATCGGACTGTCGTCGGGTGTGGGGGGAGTGGAGGGGTGACCGTCACTCGCCGTCAGTTGTGTCATCGGTGGCGTCGCCCAGGCTGTCGCTAGGTATTTGGCGGGGAGAGATGGACGTTCGTTCAGCTCGGAGAGGGTGCCTGTCAGTTCGCGGGTCGTGCCACCACGCTGGTTCGGTGGTGCGGTGACCCGCCCGCCCTCGTCTGAGTCATGCTCTGGGACGTCCGCCCATCTTTTGCTATCTGGGGCATGGGTCAGGGAGATCCGACTACAGAAACAATGCCATGCCATCGCGTGTTTTAGACCTGTATTGGTCTTCTTCTTTTAATTAACAGGTGCGTACGTGTGCACTACTCGCTTGTAACAAGTGCTTCATATCTCCTTGGAGATATAGCAATTTCATTCCCGATACACGCTAGTGTTCGAAATACTATATTGGCTGAGTACTTTGTTATTTATTTACTTATTTGAACCAGGGCACATCTACACATGATGATGGTTATTAAGAATATGTCGCAATGAAAGATGGGTTATGGAAGTCACGAGGCGCAAGGAAGGCCATCGGGTGTCACAATGGTTATTCCAGTTTGCAATGCAGCACATGAATTAGGTAAAAACTACCGAAGTAGTTTACTCGCTCACACCTTCACAGTATGTCCAACAACTAGAGCGCACGTAAAGGCTGGGCACAGATCCAATGTGAATCGAGCGCTCGATCTCACATGTGTCTCGCACAACAAGTCCACGACTACGACAGGACGTCAACGTCTTCCTCCCGGCTAAACGGGCCCGACGATCTACGCATCTGTAAGTGAACACAGCTCGGTTAGCATGCGAAGAAAACCCGATTCAGTGAAGCCAGACTGGCGGATAAGATCTATTGCAGGCTGTTGCAGCCGGTCCCTCCGTCCGCATCCTATCTTTATCTTCTAAACTTTAGTCGTGAACAACTTAGCCGGCCCACAGCACTCGTGATAGTGCATGTGGAGTTTCATGTGTTGATCAACACGAGCTACCATTAAACACACATTTTAGGATAAACCGACCAATTTCAAGTTGAAATGCTGGCTGCATATGTACGGTCTCGATTAGACGTGCGCACTTAAGAATGCAAAGCCAGTTTCTCTACTGTATCCAAAACAGATCAGACCGTTCACGCGCTCCGGGCTCACTAAGCCCAATGGTGTCATGCGCACAGGTCGGTGCGCCCACGCAGGGAGTAAACCTTTCTATCCATCTAAGCTGACTTGTCCTGTTAGATAATGAACAACGTGCTAATCGGACCGGCCATGTCCGACCAATTGGCAGCTTACCTGGCGGGGGGCTGCCGATGCCCTGGGGTGGCTCCTGACCCTGGCCGACCGGATCCGCGCCCGGCTGCCGCCTGCGGACTCGTTCCCGCAGGTGGAGTTCCGGGTAGCGCAGCGCCTTGACGCGTGTCAGGCCTGGTAAAAGGACAGGTCAGGGTTAGTGTCGGTCCCCAGATAGCTATGCTTAAGCAATTGTGCGTCTCTCAGAAGTTTCAGAGCCAGTGCCGGGTGGGTAAAATTAGCCAATTCACAGGATGTGACAGAAATTTAGCCCTCTGATTCATTTTACGCAGTGGAATGGGTAGCGTTTTGCCGCGCTGTTTAAATTCTCTAAATACACGCCTCAACCCACTGAAAGCCAGTCTCCATGTTTTTCTTTTCTTTTTTGTTGTTTGCCGCGGAGTGCTCCTATTCAGAACAGATCTGCTGGCACGCATGACGAAACTCCTCTGTATTACGAGGGCAACCATTAGCCACGAGGTAGCCAGCGCGACGAATTCCCAACCATTGCATCTAACCTTTCGTTGCCAGCTCAGCACTAATAGTGAAATTGGCGAATGTTTCCGTGTGGGACATATCAAGATTTTGTATCGCCAACAAGGAAAAGCTTTGGTCGCGATTGCTGAGTATCCCATCAATCACGGCTATAATACCGACACCAGACCATGGTGATCGTAACCTGACGCCAGACCTGGCGAACTCGTCGACAACTCCACAGCAAATGTGTAACATTTACGCGTGTGTCGGAGATTCACGGTATTCATCACCCTTCGCTGGCGCATAATTCAAGTATTCTGTTGGTAAGTCGCATTCACTTCATGAAGCATCGTTGACACCGCTTCAGCGTTTTGCCCTCGGCTACGGCAAGCGGTCGCGAGTTCACAGTGTATCATGGTATCGAGATTCTCACTGCCGGTGGTTCTAAGATTACGTCAGAGCTCAAGTTCACAGCGTCGTGGTTTCATCAGCTTGCCACAGAATGCACAATGCAGCGATTCTTCATTGTTCCAACAAAAATCGTGATGTCACAAAAATAACAAGCTCCTTAACGAGTGCAGCTTATGCAATCGTTGGGTGCATCCTTCTTTGTGGCACTGCGATTTTTGTGTCGTTCGGAAGGACGGGGAAAACATTTTGGCATGCCCATCCCTTTGAGCATTCTCAGTGTAAGGACGCACGTGCCTTCACAGCGCTGCCTCACCTGAGCCCGTGGTGGTGACAGCCATCAGCAGCAGCGTGGATATTACGAACGGAAATGTAAAGACCGGCAAACTCGTCTGAAACAGCACGCGGAAGAACTGCGCTGATCACAGTTCTCACTGAAGTCTCACTGAAGTCCCAAATCACCTCACTGAAGCACAGCCTCGGCAATACTCAAGGTTTGCACACGACAGTGCTGTGCACATGTAAACATCATAACCAGGCACGCGGTCATTTTCACCAGGCTTGAAAATGTCCTGTTCCCTACAACGATTTTTACGAAACCGATATCGTTGAACCGATCTAAACCTGAAGAAGTTCCAGCGCATTCGATATTACCCCGGACAGGCCTATATGAGATAGATGCCAACAAAACGAGAGCCTACAATTTAGCATGAGCGCGTGATTTTTGACACGTGAAATGGTACTCAACAAGCCGGTCTTAGCATAAGCTGCAGTTTGCAAATACAGTTTCATTCACCTGCTTCTCATACAGAGCTATGTAAGATTTGGCACGACACAAACGGAAATTTCCTGTTGTCGCATTGCAGGGTGGATGAATAATCACTCTAATGACAACTCGCCGGCCGAGGAAATAATGTGCAAGAAGGTGTATGAAAACTTTGATATTCTAAGGTTCACTCTTCACTTTTCTTCCTTAAATTCCTGGGGGTCCATGAAGCATAGCATTTAACTGAACGCCACTGAAACGGGTAAAGCTCCCAAATTCCTGGAATTCCTGACTAAACAGAATCTTATCTCATTCCAGTGGGTCTCACCTGATGATGTTGATAGTGCTTACGCGAATGGCGGCAATGGGCTCAGGCGGTGTCTCACCTGTTTCATACTTATGCTTAGCGCTGCCTGCAGCATGGTGGCGAAAACAGCATTGATCAGAGCCAGGCAAGCAGAGTGCAGTGACGGCACAAAGAAGAACATGATGCCCTCCGCCGCTAGGATGCCGTTATAGCCCCAGACTCCATTATATACGTTATCGTATGGAGCAGTGCCCAACGCCAGTCCTGAAAACAAACGCGCGCACGTGCCATACAGCCGATCGTGGGGCGGCGTGGTACGACGACCGCCAAGGGGTCATACTGCGCATGACACTGGTAAGTGCCGACAGGTTCGTATTGAACTGTCTGGACCATTGTGCTGCTTCACCTTGCCAATATTGGCCACTCCTAAAGCTACCGGCGTGAAGCGCAACGGCGGAAGTGCAACGTCCTACCTCGATTTGCTGACATCTGCGTATGAAGATACTCTCAACCATTCGACTGGGACAGTACACGTTGAGAGGGATTATGCGTCACCACACTGGCGTTAATGCCACATACGTGGCCAAAAATGGACTCAAACAGGGAAGAGAAATTGGTGAACCAGAAGTTGTAACATATTCTTTTTTTAGATTGGCATGCACAGCAGCACAGGACTCGGGGTGAGGTACGATGCTTAGAAATGTTTCGCACGGTCAGACACCGCGCTGCAAATAAAGACACTTAGTCTCGGCTATCAGACTGCCCCCGGAATCCCCAGTGACTGCAGAACATTGCCAACACGGCCGCCAGGATCCTTCCAGCCTTGTCTTGCGTGATAATATGATCATCAGTATGCACCGGCACTTACAAAATAGGTAAGGCGTCGGCATCCGCCTGCGCAGCCGCCCGCACCAGCACCATTTTTCAAGAGACGAGCTGATGAAAACGCTTACGCGGGTAAAAATATCTTGCAGTCGTGCTGCTCAGATCCGATTACAGGCTTTACAGACCGCGGAATGGTAAATCGCGCGGCAAGGACGGCAGTCAGGAGCCGAGCTTTGCTCGGTTAGTTTGGTCTGGACTGGAACCCCTCGGCCAGTGACGACCGTTTCAGCTGGCAAAACTACACGCACCTGCGCATCCTGCGCCGAAACTGATCCCGCGCAGCCCCCCCCCCCCTCCCCCCCCCCTACATGGGATGTGTGCCCGGTGCACGGACGGGCCCCCCGGCAGGAAACGCTTCAGCCTACTCAAGGCTGGCACATGTGGCTTACCCCGGACCAGCGGCGAGCCACGAGCGTACGGAACGAAGCTAGACTGGGGAAATACGGGCGGGGGTGACATGCTCGCTCCGTGCGCGCCTGCCGTTCGTACCGAGCAGTGTGCCGGTGAGAGCTCCGACGTACGAGGCCGCTGCCAAGATAGGCGAGCAGAGCAGACAGGCCATGTACATCAGCACGCTGCCCGGCAGCGAGTAGGAGGCGTACACCTGGCCCATGCTGTACACCGAGCCCAGTAACACCTGCGGCACACGTCACCGGACGCCAGCGGGTAAGGCGTTTGCAGCGCCACCACCGGGGTTTATTGTAACCACACCGAATGGCACAACACGAATTGGTCAAGCTTTTTCTCTAAAACGTGTGTGCACTCTTCCACAAAAACGTTGCTCATTATCTTCCTGCAACCACATGAGAAGCATAGAAGTAGGGTGAAATGCAAAGTAAACGTGGTAAGCGTACAATCCACCATTAATTGCCTAAGACGGCATCAAACCGGCATGGTGACGGGAGCATAGAATGTGCGATGGCATCCAGGCACGGAAAAGGATGTGAATTGAACACGCAAGATTCCTTTTTCGGTGAAGCTATTTCCATTACTATTTTACCTTTAACACGCCAAACTTTATGGGCGCCATATGACCATTGTAGTCGGCTAGTCGGCGCGCCCCAAAGCCCAAATCATCATCACCACAACAAATTTACCGAGTCATGGGTATGAACATCGCCGTTTATAGCTCAGACCTATATTTACATAAGTGTTCAAGTGCGTAACTCAAAAAGATCGTTTTAGCTTTGAAGGCTCCCCCTGTTCCATAGCGCAGTCGCAGTCAGTCGCCCACTCTGGTATGAAGAACAATCAGTCAGTAACCCACCCCAGTCGGTAGAGCAGCTACGGTCAGTGGCCCATTCTGGTCTGTAGAGCAATCACGCTGGTAAGAAAATAAGTCAAGACCAGTGATCCACCAGATCTGTAGTGGTCCAGTGGTCTGCATAAGTCACTCCGGTCTGTGGAGTAGTCACGATTATGGGCCTTCATGGTCTGTAGAGTAGTCACGGTTATAAGCCCACTCCGGTCTGTAGAGCAGCCACGATCATAAGCCCACTCCGGTCTGTGGAGCAGTCACGGTTATTAGCCCGCCCAGTCTGTAGAGCAGCCACGGTTATTAGCCCACTCCAGTCTGTAGAGCAGTCACGGTTATTGCCCCACTCCGGTCTGTAGAGCAGTCACGGTTATTGCCCCACTCCGGTCTGTGGAGCGGTCACGGCCATGTTCCGGTTACGAGGTAAGCGATGGTGTGACATATGGCCGGATGAAAAAAGGTCGGCAGAAAAAGAGGCAAGAAAAGATCGCTGATCGTATGACGTGCAAAAGCCCAATCTTGTATTCCTATAGCACCTTTTGACGTTTCAGTTGTCTCGGACGATGTTTTGACATACTAATTTTTGTTTGCAATGCTTTGTCGTGAGACCTTTTACCCGCTTACCCAATGTTCCCACCCGGCCTGAAGAGTAGTCACAGTCAGTTTTCCAGCCCGGTCTGAAGAGTTTGTTAGAGGTCCACCCAAGTCTGTCGAGCAGTTTCGTCTAGCTGTCCACAGCGATCTGTTAAGGGGATGAATGAGGCCGGACCTGCTCAAAATGTCTGTAATAAAAACATTTCACCTGATATTAAGCGCACCACATTCTTTGAGACATCTTTCAACATGTTCAGCTGCGTCACAAGCCAGCTCGGATTTGACCGAGCGCGAGCAGTCACCTGATCCCACTGTACGGCGCTGGCGGTGACGTTCGCGGCCGTCTTCGTCACCTCCAGGGAGGGCGGTGTGTCGTGGAGGAACAGGAACAGCACTGACGTCACCACGTTGAAGGGCAGGGTAAAGGCGGGCAGCTGGAACTGGCCGAGGATGTTCCCCAGACCGCCACCCACTGGAACACTACGACAACCAGTTTCTTTGTGAAATGTCGAAGGTGCTGGTTGTGCGCAGGGAAACATGCTGGCAGCAATCACACATCTCGTTTCGAGCCAAAGCCTCTACGTGGCTGCAATAACTACCATCCTGGCTATTAACGTCAAGACGATGATCAAAAGAATGGAAGCGAAGATGACCTACTGACCTACTGTAGGTCATGACCTACTGCTTACTCATGTGCCTAAGCCCACCATCACCTCAGGTGAAAATGCCGCGACAGAATACGAGCACGAACGTACTTTTGCTTTTTTGAACTTTTTGAAAAATTTCAGCCATTGTGTCTCAGCGGAGTAATTCAGGGACTCTTTCTATCAGCCCATCGCCCATTAGCGGTGACCAGGAGTGCCCAATGCCCACCGCTGTCCACCGCGGCACGGAACCTTGCGTTTATACAAATATTAGTAATATGTACAACATTGAAGGTTGCGGCGCTCCCAGCTACAGAGTGGGGGATTTTCTAAATAAGCTACAAATAAAGCGTAGAGCGATATGTGAAGGTAGCCAGTTTCACGAACGACCCCTGGCGGAGCACTAGCACCATCATCTAAAAAATGGAGCATTAGGAAATAATGTCAGGTTGACATGCTACAATGTCTCGTGGGCAGAATGATGCTTGTTGCTCGCATGCTGCCATCCCCATCACCCGCCAACTAAGCAAGCTTACTGTCAGGGGGCGCACGGATTGAGGAACAGGGGGACAGGGGGCCATGATTTTCACTTTTAAGGTGAGGACCAGCAACGTTAACTGCTCCCCCAATGTCTAATTTATTTGCATTCAGTTTACCTTTGTGCTGCCTTAAACATGCATGCCAATTTACCTGGTTCACCAGCCATCTTCCTCAAACTGCACTGGACAAAAATGCTTTATGTGGTAAATGACTGCAGCTTATCCATCCTTGTACAGCGGAAGGAGACATTTAAGTGCAAACTCCGGGCTGGTCTAGTACTAGAAGCTCCGTTATGTATTTTTATATAGCCTTTGTTCTCCTGCTTGACTGCTAAGCCCCCCAGCGTAGGTTCATGAAGTTTAAAATAGATCTGTCATAGGTGTTTGACGTAGTCCAGCACGTCAGGTAAAACTAGCCTTTTATGCAATGCCGGGGTTCCACGTAACTGCGCAAAATTACCGCTGTTATGAAGTCTGGTAAAAGTTTTAGGCATCACTTGAAAATTCTAGGCATTTTATGAAACCGTGTGGAAGAACATTGGGTGTTCCAAGAAGGACATGACTAAACAGAGCATAAATGTTGTTGCGTAGCCGCTACATCTTTACTGTTTGGCTGATTCGTCAATATTGCTCTTTGTGCTTTCGACTTACAGGTTATGATTTACTTTACTGACTCCTCATACGTTACCCACGTGGTTACCCATCATTTAAAATACATGTTTTATTTAAGCTACGTGGTACTCAATCATCTCAAATGCATGTTTTATTTAGAGTAAGTCGCCAAGCGGGAGCCGGTTCGTTGGAGCATGTGCCAGTAATCACCGCGGCTAGCAATGACGTCAGAAAGCCATGATTTTGACAGAAGAATTTCTGAACGGGTCTGGTTCAGAGGCAGATGTTGACTAGGTGCGTTCGTTGGGCAGGGGCAAAGCAGTGCAGCATAATGCGCCTAAAGTGCTACATTGCGCGCGCACTGCGTTTGTCTAGATGTCACGATTTCGTGCCCTGTGTTATCAAGTAAGCTGTGACTTTAGGCGAAGTTCGTCAGTCTCACGAGCAAAATTTTGAAGAAATTCTAATATCGAGTGTTGCTGCTTGTGTTAGGCGAAGAAATGTCTGAGCGTTTTCCAAAAATACATTAGCCTTATATCCTACAATTCATCCTGAACAGCTTAAAGAGACATCTGTTTGATACTACCACGCGACCTACTTGGTCAGAAAATTTTGCCATGGTGGGGATCCCTCCACCTCCCGCCAGCTGGCATCTGCTAGGCCAAATAATCATCTATATCAGGAATCCAACCCGAGGTGTCTACCACATACAAGTGTGGAGAGGGAATAAATATAGCCATATGGAAAATATATAACCCAATCATCGACCACCAAATATCAGGCTTGCGGCAACTGAGAAGTCGCTGCGACATGTCCGACGCCTGAGAAGTTAACATCATTAGTTCTGTCCATGACGTAAAAGCTCAGTAAACAGTAGTATCATTCAATTGAACAGCAGGCGTGAAAAGGCAATACAAACCATTCGACACACAGTTAGCCTTTATTCAGAGTACTTCAATAAATGCCGAAAATTATATGGATATATACAAATATGAATATATATATATATTTATATATATATATACATTATATATACATTATATATATATACATTATATATACATCATATATATATATATATATATATATATATATATATATATTACAGAAGATGCCCGCAATCCGGCGGGCCTTTTAAATATAATATAAGTTGCTAAGGGTGCATCTTTTTGTCTACGTGTCTGTACCATTTTGCGTTGGGTCGTGCCCGGGCCAAACGACGGGTTGCTAAATGGTGAAATTTGGACACGACGCGCGGGCCCAACAAGCGGTTTTCCACAGGTAGCTCGCGAGGCACTGCGGTCCGAGGTTCGGGCGTGGCACGTACCGGAAGGGTCGTTTTAGGCCCATTGGTTTTGTACGGTGACCCGAAAATTTGGCCCACGGTAAAGCCAGCGAGCAGCAGTTGGAAACCACACCTCGGTAACCAGGTGCCGGATCGACTACGCTGGCGCTGGGAAAATCCTCCGCGCTGCACAAGCGCACCGCGCGGAAGCTGGTGACGACGCGTATCCAGCTGCGCCTCAGATGGCTCAATCAGGCTAGGGCTGCGCGGGCTGTTGCCAAGAGCGCAGCTTAACAGGTGTGATGGGACGTGGACAGCGCAAAGTGAATATCGTTGTGCCTTTCTTGTTTGGGTCTGCATGCGTACACGTCTGTTTGAGGCATACATGGATCCTTCACAGAGAAACGTTTGGGCTGTTTTAGGCGGGCTTGTCATGTAGCAATACTCAACTTTAAGCTAAAAACCCCATAGTTGTGTTCCCCGTCCTGGTCCGTCCTGCTTGCTTTTGTGTCCTTGCCGGGTGTGCACAATAAAGTGCATGTTGTGCGCAAGAATCGTTTGGTAAAGTACGGTGAATTATGAGTTATACTTGCGTTCAATGAATTGACAGGATGGCGCGACGGGTTTAAGATTGATTAACGCAAAATGCCACGACCTTCGGAGGCTTGGTGGCATAGTTGACGCAATATGAAATACCACAATATCCACGATGCCCTATTTCCTACCAAGCATGCGACAACACACCACCTCCGTCGTGTCAAACTATTTCAGTCGCATGCACGTGCCACTCGGCGCGTCACAATGTACGGAGCTGAGGTTCAGCGCGACCGTCCAGATAATGAACTTGGTGTCACTCAGCTTCTTCTCAGGCAGCGGCTCGATCTTGGGCAGGTTCGCCAGGTTGGATTTTAGCAGCTGCGGGCCGGCCAGCTTCAATGTATCGCCCTAGACACACTGCTTGGCATTCCCAAAAAGTGGGATGCCATGGTACACGGGCTCCCAGTTCCTACTCCTACGCTAGCTGTTGTGCATCCAGCGTGGCAAAAATGTCCCTTCCACATCTCATTAGAGGACTTGTTAAAGTGCCCTGTGGTAATCACCAGATACACATGTTCGTGGGTGTTCAGTGTGGCAGACGCGAAGGTAATGCGGGCGGTCACATCCTGCGAGTTTGTGACGTCATTGTAATAGTGAAGGAAAACTGCCGTAATAATCCTTGGATGATCATACCTTATTACACTGCCTTTGTATTAGATACGTTTGGCGGCACATCGAAAAACGGTGCCAAATACAACCCGCTGTCGCCGAAGCTGTAGTCAGCGGCGTACCAAAAATTGCGCCACTGCCTGTGCGGATTCATCGTTTGTAATTACCACCCATCCATTTGTCACTTTGTGCACAATCCAGTCCAAAGACCAACTTTTCGTAAAAGATTGCAATATCACGTTTCGCGTCACCAAAATCCTAACGGCTGATCATACAGTCGCCGACGGCTAGTCGTTAAAGTAAAAAAAAAACGCGCACGTGCCGAATGCAGTTATTCAGCTTTAGTTCATTCATTCGTTGCGGCAAAACAGGTGAGCGACAGTGACGATCAACTGCGTTGCTCAATCATTTTGTTTAATCTGACATGGGTGCGATAAGACGGCGCAGGAAATGCAGCCAGTTTTCAGCGAAGCCCGCTATTACGGCATATAGCTCTCCCAATGTTTTGGCGGTGTGTGTTTTGGAGTCAATGCAGAATCTTAGCCAGCAAATCGTAGGTTAACTGCATGAAAATTGCTCAAATTATGTTTCCGAATAGCTTCCTTTACCACTGAGGTGTGCGCCATCACCTCCAACGCATGACTATGCTGCGCGAAATCGGTAAGCGCTATAACAATTTTATCACCGGTTCGATTTAACAATGTCGCCAAAGGTTAACAGCTGCTTTTTGAAACAGATAAAAACAAGTTATTTGATAATTTACAACAGCCACCTCCCAGAGCGTACAAGCGTTTGAAGATAGCGGGGCAGGCGGCGAGTGGTTACCAACCTACACCGGTGTAGGTTGCAGGCGATTTACCTCACGTTTTTGCGCGTAAAACTGGCTTACGGATTAATTTAATCCCCGATGGCCCATACGTCCCTTGCAGCCAGCACATCACACCCGGTTTCCGTCAGGCGTCCGAGCAGCCAGAGGTGGGACCGGCCGCGAAATGCCATGAATGATGTGAAATGCGCCCGGAAATAGTGTAAACACGGAACACCTAAGACGCACCCGAAAGAAAATACTATATAAATATTTTACAAGCTTGCACATTTACAAACAGGAATGTCATGCAGCGGTGCCATCGTGATCAGGCGTATGCGAGGGTGTTTTGAAAGCAATGACTCCATATATTTTTACTTGACCTGATTCGCGATGGCTCTGGGCCTAGCAGTTATATTATAACACATTAAAAGTGTTCGTTATCGCAATAATTTGGCTGGTTAGGCTTCCCTTGTCGCATTATTGCAGCACGTAAATATATGTGCCATTTAGAAGAACGTTCGGAAAGTAATGACGCACGATCCGACTTGAGACACTATCGTTGATGTCAAGACTGATTACTTGACACGCGATGAAACCGCACGGCGCGGGCGCATTAGTTGCCGCCTTGGTCAGCTCCCTCTGAATAAGTCCTTTAGATACGCAAACTTCCATAACTCATATATCGGTAATAATTCATGATCAAAAGCTTCACATATTTTTGGTAGCCTATATTTTGATTGTCCCCTGGAAGCACGCATCATGCATTTTTGTGACGGGGACGTATCAGCCAAAGGTAGGATCATGGGGCGGGTTTTGCCATCGTTAAAATAATTTGGAGCACCACCTGTTCCTTGTGTTTGGACAGTTTTCTGATGGGTCATGTGTTCACAATGTTCATTGACCTTAGTGCAGACATCAAGGCGAGCCAGAGGAAGAGGGCGATGCCGACTGGTTGTTGGTATAGCAGTGGAGCCAGCTCCACAGTGACCGTACCCACCAGACAGGCACTGAATGAGGTCAGACCGGCCCGGATCGCCGCGTTCGGCTGGTCAAACAGCTGAAACAGGGCCGTCAGCGAGTCAAACAGCCGAAATGATTCAGTCAGCTGGTAAAACAGCCGAAACAATTTGGTCAGCAGGCTGAGCATCAGGTCAGACGCCAGAAATTGTCCTGTAAACAGCGTTAAAATGTGAGACGCCTTAGACTACGGGACAACAGGCTGATGCAGTCCCATAAATAGTTTTTTTTCGTCCGGAACTCGAGCTCTCGCACTAGCAGTCATTATGCTGCGAAATATTGAGTGGTCGTGGGGTCAGATAGCTGAAACGGTCTCGTCAATAAATTAAAGGATTACGAAAGTTCTGGTGCTAATTCAGAAGCTGACACAGATGGATTTGTAGATCAAAGGGCTGAATGGTCCGACCCACATGCAGTACACACGGTCGCAACGCTTTGTATCGTACCACCTGTCGACGCATGTCAATATCAGTGACATTGACATAAGGAAAAAAGGCTTTCGGCTCCTAATTTTTCCGTGTCATGAGTTAAGCTTTCTTATGCTGAGTTCTAGACTTTCAATATACCAGATGGTGCTGTCTAAACGACGTTATAGTGCAAACATTAGTTATAAAACAGCGCCCAGTGTTACAAGCTGGGCTCATGCCCAGCATGACTCGGCATAAGGACTCTGAAGTCTGAGATCATAACCTTGCAGACGTAATGGTAGTATAAATGTAATCCGTAGAAGAATAAAATTTCGTTCAATTGAGCACATAAACGAAACAATGCTCAACAAAAAATCAGTGAACCTGTAAAAAGTGACGAAGAACCTAAACGAGAGTCTCATGCCCCTAAACACTAAGTCACACCCAAGCATCCATATGAAACAATCCGGCAACAACCCAGACGGTTAAGGTCCTCCACCATAGGTAGACCACTGGCAACGACAGGTAACATAATGATTCCAAAACAAAACGAAAAATGCCGGGCAAACCAAATGAAACCGGTATTAGTGCATGGAACCGGATAAATGAGATAAATCATTCAATCACAAGTGTCTCTTAGCGAAAGTGGAGTTATTCCAGGCACAACCGACTAGCTTCGACAGCCAGCTCCCGGTTCTGGTTTCACTGCCATCAAGTTACGGGCTCCGGTTCCATTCTGTGAGCTTATACGTGGTTTCTGATGTAAGCAACTAGCAATTGTACACGTTCTAGTCGATCCAGTCGATAATCGACGCATGCGCAATAAGATTCATGAAAAGTGAACTACTCAACATGGCCCAATAACAAATAAAAAATTTCTACAAGAATGCAGTATCTAAATACAGTATCAAGAAACAAAGCCAAGTACCATCATCGGCCAACACCCGATGACATCGCATCGCAGTAATAAAAAACAACAAATATTTCAGTTCAACCTTGATGTTTTGTTTTGATCATACTGCGGAACGTCGTTCGAGCTTACGCCAGCTTATAGAATCAGTCACTGTCCGCTTCGGCACGTTCCCGTGACGAACAAGATCAAAACTCTCGTGAAACACGCTATCATCCCAGGTGCATGTGGTTGTGACGGTCGCGAAGTAATACTGACCAGGTCACATGATGAATTCCAAGATCAAGGCAAGAACAATTTCACTAAGAGCACCCATAGGCCTCAGTCCAACTATCAGCATGCCTTTCTGTCCGCCCACAATTCCCACGATGTCTCCACTGGCCTTACTGATCACGTACCACGAGAGGCCCCCAGCGCAAATACAACGACCATGTATGGTGGTGCACATTTATCTCTTCACAGCGTCACAGAAGATATCAGTTCAAATCCAAGGCGAGGGAATCCCTACATTTGTTGGCTTTCTCAGATCTCCCCTGAATATCTGATCCCCCCCCCTCCCCCAACAATGATAAATGGATGACAGTTTGACATGGCGCGATGTCATTTCCCATTCGGTACACCGCTCTATATGCAGTCCAGGGCCGCACGATCCATTTTTATGGATCCGACTCCTCAAGTTCATCTGTTATCCATTGTCCACCACCGCTTTATCTGTTATCTATAACCGCTACTGTCTGCTATAATCTCTTCTTATCAGGGCGCCGTATGTAAGTTATATTTGTTCCACCTTGGATTTCAGATAAACGTTGGATATGTTTTAAGCGTTAAGTCTTAGTCGTGTTGGTGTTCTGCGAAAAGCTGATCACTCCCCTAACCGAAGCGAAGTGCTCGAAAAGCTCGGAATATAAGACTGAAGGGGTTGTACCCGACTGAGGGGGTTGATGAGAAGGAATGACGTAGCCAGGAATTTGCCAAGGAGTGGGCATATTAGGTAAAAGAGGGCCTTTTGTGCCAAGGGGCCTCTTTTGGTCGTTGATGGGTCCAGTTCGTAGATTCGGGGAAAATTGTAGCCTCGGTATTACGTTTTGTGCCTTGGAAAAAGCTTTTGGAGATCCTACGCGTGTTTTAAGCGGCCAAACAGTAATGAGCCTTCGGCACCAGAGGGAGCGGGTCCATAGCTCTAAAGCCTCCCCCCCCCCCCCCCCTCTGGCAACGTTACTGGTGGGAAGCACGGCAAACGTTATCCAGCAATTGGCTTGCAACCAAAATGCCACTGTTGCAAATAGCGAAGGCGACAGTTTTAACAGTACAAAATAACATGAATGTCAGAAAGCATACAAGTTGCTTCAATTTCGACCCCACCTGTGCAGAAAATACCTTCATACTGAAAGGAGAAAGACGAAACATTCAGGGCCACCAAGACTCGATCTGAAGATTTCCGGATTTCTGAACAATTTGTGTAATAAAATAGGCATAATTAGACGAGCATCTGTTTATTATCGCTGGTATCCGAACACTGCACAATAAGTACTTAGATCAGTCATGCCTTTTTTGAACACAACTAAAAGTAATATGTTGCAGCTTTTGCGACTTACGCAGAAAAAGTGCAATAAAACGCCTCCTGCCTTTTTAGAACAGCATACCTATTTCGGTCCAAAAAGTCCCCGTAAAAGGCTGCCCTTTGATCCCTGATCCCTAAAGCAGTGATCACACCGTAGTCACCCCAACACCAATGTAGTCACAACGACGAAAGCGTATATTAAGTTCGCGCCACGTGATCCGAACGCGTGGAATGTATAGATCGATTCTTTAATGTAGTTATGTTTTCGGGTGGTATCTTTCAGCAGCGATAATGCCGACAGATCCTTTGAGTGATGGGGATGAGCTAGAGTGATGGAGGGAGAGCCCTGGCCGTGCGATCATTGCTCATCCCCTGCGCGGCTCTACAGCCGTAAAGATCCATTGAGCATTTAAGTTGTTTACTATTGAACCCTCATAGCGGTTCACCCAGGTACGACTTCCAGTGGCATCCAGAGGACCGCTGACGTCAGCATTTGATACGGTATTCCCATGCTGTGCAGAATGCAACATAGCGGGCATATGTGACGGCTTAACATTCAAGACTTCCAGAAATCCTCACTTTTAACATTCGGAGCATCCCAGTACCACCAGATCCTGAACATGCGAATGCGGCTGCTTGACATTCAAGGTTTCCAGAAATCCTCAGCTTAAGTGTTACCTCAACATTATCACGAGTGAAGATATACAGATATAAACAATGGACTGTGCAAAAGCTTGCTAACCCAGCAATGACGTGGCTCCTTAGCGGCACACCATTGGCCGGTGGGGGCAGATTTAAGCCCCCCTACCTATCTCAAAAACAGCCGGGGTGAATTCAAAAATTCAAACTGCAATCGATGGTGCCGAGACGCGCGGTTTTGGAAAATACTCAACCTTAAGTACGCGCTGAGGTCAAAAGTCAGGATCAACTTGTAACAAATGTCGCTTCGGAATATCTGACCGCTCCTATTAAGCATTTCATTTAGAAGCATATCTCAAGGTGTGGAATCACTGCACCTTGATAAAACATGCTATAAAGAAAGGCACCCAAAGCTAAACGCGTCGGACTCGGCCTAAAGCGAGGGTTACATGCCGTGCCAAGACGGCTGAAATCTTCGTCTGTGTCTATTTTGGTCTGTTTAGTTTTGTCAAATTTAAACTATATGAACGCAAAGTGGAAGAGATTAGCCGCAACTATCGCTTTCAGCCATGTGAGCAAGAGCTGTTACCCGTTCATAAACCGCCTAAGGTCAAGGCCGTATAGGCATAAGCGGTTCGATCGATTTTTGCGTCGTTTTCGACAGTTCAATCATGCCGACAGTGCAGCCTGATACCCTTCAACCCCGCCGCCAGCCACGTGGCGGTCGGTTTGCGTGTAAAACTGATAAACAGCGTCCGCCGCGCCGTCACCACGCTGCTGCGGCGGACCTGAGCCCCGCCGCTGCCGCTCCTGGCCCGGGCCCGCCTGGGCGCGAACCATACGCGCTATGATGCATTTCAAGCCGTAGATCAGTCATTGTTGCATATAACTGCTTGAAAGCTGGAACAAGTATCTTCCATAGTCGTATCTAGAATACTTTGTTTCATGTACTCGTAATTTTGAGCCTGAGACCATACAATGTTCAGTGTACTTTTTATAAATATCTATTTTGCTTGACATGCCGATGTTGCAAGGTGCAACATTGCAGCAGAATAAGAGCATATCATACTATATGGGACTAACTGACCCAAATTTATCATTAACAAGTGTAAAATATGTTCTTTCTTTCGGCTTCTATGTCAATTTGTCTACGGCTATGCACTTCTGTACAAAAAATGTGTAAAAATGTAAAAAAAATCGGCAAGCATGACACCACTCTGACGTCACTCCTGCTTGATCTATCATGGTCTCATAGTTTTGATTTCGGCGCAGGGCGTAGATTGCATTAATTAACAGGTACCGAAAATTTCGCAGCGATATCTTGAAGCGTTTTTGAATTATCACGAACATTGAACAAGGGGGATTTGAACCCCCCGTCGATGTCGGGCTAATGGAGTGAGCAATTGAAATTCCTATTCGGTCTTTTATTAACTGCCGCGTCCAGTATGACACTCTTTATCGACAAACGGCCCCCGTTTTCTTCCTTATGCGGGAAAAGAAGGGCAACTGACTTTTTGTCCGTATTCCTTGATTTCATTGACCTGATGGCATAGGTCATAAATTTGTTATCAGAATATCTGTGCGACGTCTGGTTCGGGAGGCATCTGCAACGGAATTCATGACGAGGTCGAAACGCGCCCGAGGCGCTGTGTCGTCATAAAATTCCTAGCAGCGGGCCGGCTCCTCTGCTTCGCGGCGATGAACACGGAATACAAAGCTCTCGCGGTTCTTGGCCGCCACTTTCCGGACCTTGCGGGTCGGGGTCCGATTCCCAGATGCTGTTCTCGGTGAACCTTTTGACAACTGCTTGCGAAAGTACAAAACTCCGGCATAATAACGGGCATCTCAAGTGTGATACAGAAGGGTGATGCGTAGATGGAGAAGGGATAAATAGTTTCTATCGACTTGCAATTCATTGCCTCCCCACACTCTTCTGCAGAAGTTTGGGCTTGGTACCATCAATGACAATGTCTTTGGCTGCAGAATCGGCTGCTCGCTGGGCCAGGTTCGGTCTTGGCGCCGCTCAGTCGAGTCGGGGAAAACTTTGGTCATGAGCCCGTCGACGAACTTGACGCTTGCGCCGGAGGGATGCTTTGTCTCGGCGCTGGCTCTGGCTGTTTCCAATTTTTAATAGGTGGTTGACGATTTTCCCGACTGCTTTGTTGTCGGCTAACTGTATTCCTGAGCGGAGATTCGCGAATTTTCGCCCCACCGTAACATCTATGGAGCGAAACGGCCGATTGTGAAAAACTTAACGTCGTGCGATTTCTCTCGATGGAAACTTCATGCATGATGAAGAAACCTTTAAAAATATGGGAAAACGGGGTTGAGGGGGGGGGGGGGTGTAAAACCATACTTTCTAGAGGCATTTTGATCCAACACAGTTGTCTAAATACGCCTGACGTAATACAGTCTAAGAACGCGTAAGTCAGATAGCAAAAATAGTAGCGTGTAAGTCGGATGCGGCTTTTTTAATAATGAGGGATACACGCGCATGTTGTGGCACGGTAGACGTGCAGCTCCCGAAGTTCAAAACCACACCCGGCTTACGAGCCAACTGCGGCAATACCTCACAGGAACACATTCAGATCTCTCCAGCCTGTCACTCTAGACGAGACAGCCATTGGGACACTTAACAAATGTGCATCTCAAAATTATATTTAATCGTGCGCTATCTCCGTGTTCCCCTATTTTTCACTCACACACACACACACACACACACACACCCACACACTAACACACACTCACACACACACTCACACACACACACATCACACACACACCACACACCACACAACCACACACCACACACACACAAATCTCTCTCTCT